AAACTTGTGGATTTCTTAATGGAATAGGATGTTAAAGCAACCGGCGAGTTAATGATAGTTGCATGATCATGTTATTTTTATACATATATAATCACCTGATATGTTAAAAATAATGAATAAGAGTGTCGTTATAGATAATTCAATTCACAAACAGTAACTGTCATAATCACTTTAATACGTTAATATGGACTTAGATGAGTTGACCCTTATTTTATGTTCTATAAAAAGTAAGTATGCTATGTAATATTCAGTTTTAAATTTTATTCCTTATATAAATAAACAAATTTAAAAACCTTTAATGAATATGTCAATTCTGGTCCCACACTGTTTTTTTTTGGTAAATAATGGTGTGAAAATGGATTGAACAACTCGTTTTATTACGTTAGATACTGCAACAAACAAGTACAATAATGTTCTAAAGAATCATATACATAAATTCTTAGAATAAGTGAAGTTTTTTCATCATTTCTGAAATAGTGAACTATAAATTAATATTATAAATTGTTATAAATTACTGATTGCATTCCTGTTGCAGTTGTTCGAGGAAGTAAGTCTGATTTTGTGAAGTTTCAGTGAAGTTGTAGGGAAATACACAGAAGAAGTAAGGAAAGTGGGAGTGAAAATCTTGGAGCTGTTTAGTGAAGGATTAGGACTTAACAGAGAATATTTGTGTGGAGGACTTAGTGAAGAGCCTGTAGTGTTGTCTCATTACTACCCTCCTTGTCCTCAACCAAGTTTAACCTTAGGAACATCCATTCACAAAGATCCTAACCTTATTACCATTCTGCTTCAACAACTAGGGATCTCACTGCACTTCAGGTCTTCAAACATGGGGAATGGATTTCCGTTGACCCAATTCCCAATGCCTTTGTGGTAAACATTGGGATTGTGTTACAGGTAATTTTTTTCTTCTTTTTTTTACTAAAAAGACTGAAAAAGATTATCCCAAAAATATTTATAGTAAAAAGAAACACAATTAATTGGAAAATTAAAAAGATAAACTAATTTATCATAGATGTTCTTATAAATTAGAAGGTTCCAATTGAGCCTGAATGAATGAGTGTTTATTTTCACATTGCATTTTTTTTAAAGAGTTGTATTAGGGTTAATATGTGTGTGGTTTCTAAACATAGGACGTGAAATTCAAATTGGTTCTTTTCATATATATTTTGATACATTTTAGTCTCTAAAATTTAAAATGAATATAGATATTTTATCTTAACGCATTTTTTTCGTCTTAAACAAATGTTTCAGATTTATAACTGGAATAATCAAATAGTATAAATAATTCTAAAATGTTAATCTAAAATATCGTTTAACACGTTAAAAAATTTAATTTAGTTGAATTAGAAAGATTATATTCAAATTTAAAGTTTTAAAACTAGTATCAAAGTTTCAAACAAATTCAAATTTTAAAGTTTAAGGATTAAAAAGATACTTAACGGATTATATTCTAATCCTTTGTCTTATTCCATCCATGCGTACAATAGATTCTGTCGAACAATAGATGGATTATTATTAAAATCCTTACAATGATTAGTTTGATCACCGGAAGCTAATCTTGATGATAAGTTTTGCATGACAAAGTTCAAATTTCTATGATTGCTACATATAGATTATTAGCAATGGAAGACTCATTGCAGCTAAAACACCGGGTTATCACAAATTCAAGCAGTGGGAGACACAGCGTTGCCTACTTCGTTAACCCAACAAAAGAATCCCTTGTAGAACCTGCTAAGCCTCTGATAAGTCCAACTTCTCCTCCAATGTTCAGATCTATGACATTTGGAGAGATGACTGCAAACTTTCTGACCAAAGGCTTTCAATTTGAAGAACAATTGCGGACAGTAAATTTCCAAAATTAATATGGAAAAGTAATGCAAAACTTTTAAAACGACTATATAAAGTTATGTCTCACTTGAAAGAATAAAGTTTATGTTTGCAATGTCGAAGCTTGTGAATGTAGTGAACATATTACACTTCAATGGCTTGTGGTCTACTTGTATTTTCAATCTTTCGTACTCTTAAGATTGAGGAACTCTTCTGTATTGAATTCAAACTTCTGTTTACTGTTAGTGTTCTGGCTAATGACCTCATATATATTGAGAATGTGAAATTAACTGAGCAAGAGATTGGTTTGTGTAAAATATAAATTCTCCAACTCTTACTCAGAAGTTTCTTGCTGTTAATTGAACTCATGTCATTATAAAGAAGAGGTTACAGAATTAGCTATTTTTTCTTTTGACTATAATAAGAATGCCATTTGTGGTGTTACAAGCAGCGAAAAACTGATGTAAAACAGTAAGGAGAATATACCGAATCTCATCAAAAGGATGCTACCAAATCTAAGAAATAAATAACAGAGAAATCTCAGATAATAATCCTACTACTGATGCAATGGCAGACAGGCTTAAGTTCAATAAGGTATAATAATTATTTTCAGTGCTGTTCAGATCCTTTTAGATTTTTTTTTCAATGAATAAAGACTCTGGTTTGACATGTACATTCAAGTTGCTACTTATTACTACTTATTTATTTTGTTGGCATGTAATTTGAGAGATCCATTTTGTGAAATCAACAGAGTAAGTGTTTGGATTGTGTAGAATACAAATTCTCTGACACTCAAGAACTCCGAAGTTTCTTACTGTAAATTTTCATTTGTCTTCCCTTTTGCTTCACTATTCCATTAATGTGATAACCGAGGACAAGTTAGAGAATTAAGAAGAGGAGTTCTATAGTTTTGCTATAATAAGTTGGCCATTTTGTTTTGTAACAAGCAATGCAGAAACTGACATAAAACAGCAATGGGAAAATACAGATACTCATCAAAATACCAAATCTTAGAAATAAAGAATAGAGAAATCTCACATATCTCCCTTCTCAGCATTTCTGACATTCCTCCATTTCTCGATTAATAAGATATTATTAAGATGGATGTATGATAACAGTTGAAAAACTGTTATTTTCATGCTTAAAAGTGATACTAAAAGCAACCTTTAGACTTAGAAACTAGCTTGAAATCATGCATTTTGTTTATATTTTCAGAAATAAGAGAGCTGGACAGGTTTATGCTTGATTTGAGTGTTTTTGTGCAGGTTTTGAGGTGAATTTGGTGAAAGAAGTGAAGAATGAGAGAGAGGACATTAGAAAAGACAAGAAAGAGTGCAAAAAGAGAAGTCGAAGGCACCGCTCAGCGGCAAACTACCGCTGAGCGGCACTCAAGAGGTGGCGTTGGAACCGCTGAGGGGCAAATGGCCGCTGAGGGGAAGAAAGAAGACGCGTAACCACCGCTGAGCGGTAAATGGCGCTGAGCGGCACTTTTTGGGCTTGGGCTTTTGTAATCTTTTGTAACTCTAGATTAGTATATAAGGGCTTGCACGTCCTATAGTTAGGATCTTTGGCAGAAACGAGGCAAACACTCTCTCTTTCACCCCTTTGAAGGAGGATCTTGGATGCTCAGGCTACCTCTTCACCTTTATTGGGTTTATTCTTTCATACTTTCATTGTTATTCATCTAGGTTCACCATGAATATGGTGAACTAAACCTTGTATGTTTGTTGGGGAATCAATGTAATCTCTTGAAGCTCTCATATATGGATTTGTTGAATACATCTTTGAATTAAGACATATGCTTTCTTTTCATCATTAGTTAGGGTTTTTCCTCTTTGCTCAATGCTTGCATTGTTTAACTCATTCTAATGCATGATTATTGGTTTTGTTGATACGGACACGTACGGGGAAATCTAGATCCGGGGAATTTCTCCCAATATTTTACTGACAACATTATATTGGTTGCCTTAAGCTCCTGCGGTAATGAACTAATCATTAGGAATGCTAGGAATTGTATGAACTATTTGATTAGGGAGAAGCCATCTAGAATGGTACATTAGAGAGTGGCATTAACAATGATGATTTGAATGTTGAATTCCTAAAATATATGAGAGTGGATGAGATGAAATTGACCCCCAACAACATATTCATTCATTTAATCCATTGAAAGTGTTTATCTTATGTCTTTGCCATTGATCAATTCATGCATACATGTTTATTTTCGTCTTGCATATTAAAATTTCAATCATTGTTTTCTTAAGTCTTAGCTAATCAAGAAATCACATAACTAAACTAGGCCGTGAGTCCTTTGGGAAGAACGATACTTGGTCTTACCAAGTTTTATTACTTGAACGATTCGGTCATACTTGCCGATTGTGAAACAAGTTTGTGACATCATATTTTGGTGCTTACAAATTTGTCCATCAATGTAGTTTCTGTCTTAGGGGAAAAAAATGACATTTGCAACTTCTATACTAAAATCAAAATGTTAGAAACAGGGGTCGCAACAAATGCTACAAATATCTCAATACTTAGTTCAGAAGAATCACTGTCTACCACCCATCTCTCTATCTCAACGTTGTTCCTTTGTAGCATCTATCTCTTAGGCCTCCCTCAGTCCCTTTTATCTCTCGAATCATGATATGTTAACAACTTTTTTTTAACAACTTTTTGACATTAATCTGTTTTAAATATACGAACCAAAAAAATAATGACACATAGTCTATTCAAAAAGTTGTTAACATATCATAGTCCTTTACTCATACTTTCTACTTTGATGCTTCTGCTTTTTCCTACTTCAATACTTAGGTTTTTGTATTTTTTGTAATGGAAGGCTACTAGAAGTGTACCGTGATTTATATATACAATACATCTTCATACATTGTTGTTAAGAATTTTGGAAGTGTAACAAAACTACATATAATTAAAAAAGTTGGAAGCATGTATCAGAACAGAAGCCACACTAGTATCTAAATGCTAAAATAGTTTCAGCTTACTATAACTTTTTTCAACAAAAACAGAAACCTTAATTTCGGTGATCTTGTCACTTACATTTCTCAAGTATCACGTACTGTTTTTGTTGGAATACAAGTGTGAGTCTAAGTCCTACATTGGATAGAAATGAGAAAGTAGAGCAGTATATAAAAATAAAAAACCCATTAACCCATTGTCTTAATGTTTTTGATAAAGAGTGGTGTTGATCCCTTATATAGTTGACTCAGGTGTTATTGGTGTTACTGTAATCCACAGGAACTTCCTCCTCAATAGACCCACCATAGGTCGCTCATCTGGTTCATACGTCAAGCAATTTATCATGACTTGCCAACAATCTGGTGCAATATTTCCTTTGAGAATCGGATCAATTTTCTCCTCAATAAGGTGGTTCTCCGGAAATTCTTTTTCAGCCAGGGTTCTCCTGCACACAACATCGAGTAGAACCAAACCAAATGAGAAAACATCCCATTTAGCTGTGATGGTACCATCGTTGACCAGCGCAGCCATGAAGCCCCAAGTACCTATGAGAAAGAGTATTAACTTAGTTTGACCCACGAAAATTCATTGCAATGAGAAAGCTCATACAACAGAATAAAAATTACCCATAACATGCTCTACATTGATTTGCTTCTGCTTTGACATAAAACGTGATCCCTGCAGGCTAACACCAAAACCAGAGAGTTTTGGCTCCATGTGGTCATCCAAAAGGATGGTATTAGGACCTAGGATGCAGTGAAAGATGGTACGTTTAGCTCCGGTGTGAATGTAGTGTAGCCCACGTGCTACTCCTATGCAAATTTCTAGCCTCTTCTTCCATGATAGTTTACCATCTTGTAGTTGTTCGTCTAGAGATCCATTGGACATGTACTCGTATACAAGAATCTTCTCATTTTCGTGGTTGCAGAATCCTATAAGAGACACACATCTGGGGTGATGAAGCTGACATAACAATTCTATTTCCGTGTTGAACGCTTCCCATCCTTGATCCTTAAATCGCTTTATTGCGACCGTGTAATCAGAAACCCCATTATGCTGTAAACAGCCTTTATATACTTCACTAAATAATCCACGTCCTATTACTCTGTTTGTATCAAAGTTATCGGTGGCTTTCCTGAGATCGATGAGAGAAAATTGATGGCACAGTTCTTCTATTAACGATGGAAACTGTCTCCGAGATGAATTTGTATTTGTTGTGGGCTTCGAACAGCACATGCCCAAACAATTCAGAAACATAGTTCCAATTTGTGACACCTGCTTGCTTAAGTAGTTTTCACTTGTCACTTACCATAGACATTGAACTATGCTACTCCTCATTCGTTTGGCTTGAGAAGAATAATAGGGTTGGGTTGGAATCTCGCCAAAATAAGATCCCCTAAAGTTTTTAACAAGGCTGTGTTCATTTCTCACCAAGCATTCATTTCAGATATTGTTTGCTCTAGTTCAAAGACTGGGACCTGCATATGAAAGTCTGACTTAGTCAAAATGAGAATAAGCATAGTCAAAATGAGAATAAGCAGTTGGAAAAGTTCAAAGACTTTTATTTCTAGAAATGTTTACAGAGAAATTCATCCAACCCAATATGGCCGTAGAAAAATTAGGTAGATTCACCTAGTGATATAGTTAGTGATGGTAAAAAGGGCTCGACGGATTAGCCTCTCAATTCGGCAAAAAAAAGGCAGGATAAACTTTTTAACTCGGAAACCTAAACCAACCTAGTTAGCCTGGTTCGGCATACCATTCCTGCAGGTCATTCGAGTCAGTCCGTCAATCGACTAAATTAAAAAAAATTGGAACTTGTAACATTTCATATTAACACAATCCAATAATCCAGTCGAAATCTAGGTCAAGGTCCGATAGAACTCGACCAAAGTTTGATACAACTCAACCAATATTTGAAACAAGGTTTAATACATCATTTGCTTCTTAGTTTTGGACTTTTTGCTCAAAGTTGTCCTACCTTTTAAAAATGTTTAGTAAGGTTCCATGTTTTGTTAAAAACTTTTCAAAATGGTCCTTTTAACTTACAAAGTTAAAAACATAACAGTGCAATTGCCTTAGTGGCCAAAAGTGAATGATGTGTACAATTTTGTAATACGTGACACGTTTGATATATATTAAGGTGTAAATTTTAAAAATAAAATTGAATGACTGTGGAAAAAGTTTAACTAAGGGTTAAATAAAAGTGATCTTCAATTAGGTTAGAATTCATTCGCGATTTGGGGTTCAAGAATTTGGTGAAAGTAATCTTCAATTTGGGTTCATGGTTCGTTGAAGATGCAATTGGAAGAATCCCGCCTGCCAGCAACCCGTTTTAGCATTCATAATCTCTCTTTCTTCATTCGATTTTCAATTCAACCACAACAAAAGAGAGAAGAAAACCTACCGCACCCACCTCCATCTTCTTTGTGTGAGGTCACTACAACACCACCTTCACCCACGACTACACTTTTCTCGCCTCGCCGTTAACGTCGGAGCCGGACGTGATCGTCGACATTGCTGCATCTTTTCCAAGGCACGTCGTTGGCCATGAGCTCCACCAACGTTACCACTGACCCTTTTTCTCAATTATTGTTCAACTTTCTTCCTCCTCTTTGAATGAGTTTTTTCTGGTTGTGGGTGTTTGAGGTGAACAAGAAGACAACGATGGGGTGATGGTTGCTGAAATGTTGGGAGAGAGATGGAGTTTCTGATTTTTTGTGAATTGCAAATTGGCAATTAGGGTTTTTGATTTTGCACATGATTTTGTGAATTGTGAATTGAGATTCTAATTTTGAAAATTACAATTGGGGCTTCTGATTTTACACATGATTTTGCACAAATTCTAACCCTTTTCTTTTACTTAATAACTTCAACTTTTTAACATTTCCACATACCTTGCCAACTCAATTCACCTCACATTGTCACACAATCAAAAATTGTACACATCATTCAGTTTTTGCCACGGAGGCAATTGCACCGTTATGTTTTTAACGCCGTAAGTCAAAATGACCATTTTGAATCGTTTTTAACGAGATATGTTACTTAATTTTTTTAAAAGGTAGGACGACTTTGAACAAAAAGTCCAAAACTAGGAACCAAATGATGTATTAAGCCTTGAAACAATTAGAAAACAACTCGTTTCAGCCCTTTCAGCTTGAAATAAGCCTGCTAGTTTGTCGTTAGCTCGTTTTCATGTAAAAAATAAAAAATTCAGCCCATTTTCATATGATATTAAACTTTGGATGACAAAAAAAACAACCATGCCAACCTCGTAGCCTAACAGTGGGCCTGTTAGGATAAAATTAAATATCAAGGTTTATTTGCAATTCCGTTTCTAGTTTTAGTTGTTTGGTAGTTGTTTAGTTTTTTTGTATAATATACTCAATTAGTATTATTCGATTAGTGTTGGTCAATATTATTTAGTTAGTGTTCACAACCATATAATAGCCTATACAATTCAATGAAAATACACAAAGTTACAATTTAGATTATATGTGTTTGAAATTATTTCCCAACAAATTGGTATTTGTTCCTGAGTGTCTGAGTGAAAAAATAGAGAGCAAGTTTGCTTGAGTGTTTGAGGAAGAGATAGTGAAATAGCCAATCTTGTAAACAGTATGTTCATGTCGCAGTTGACGAAGAAAGCCAGCTATGATAACTGAAGTCTGCAGATGAAGACTCTTCTTGGATACCAAAACGTGTGGAATGTTGTTGAGAATGAGTACTAAGAACTGGCGGAAGATGAAGAAGAGACGATTGCCCATATTGCTATGAGAAAATGCGAGTAAAGGACAAATTGGATTTGTACGTATTGTACATAGCTGTGGACAAGTTCGGCTTTGAGAAGATAGCAAAAGCTACATCTTCAAGAGAAGCGTGGGATATCCTAGAGAAGACATACAAAGGGATGATCATATTAAGCAAATCCGACTTCAAACTCTCATAGACGAGTTTGAAAACTTTGAAGATGAAAGAGAGAAAACGAGTAGTCGAGTACATAACTCGGATGGAGACCGTGACAAATCAACTCGGCAGAAATGGAGAGATAATGTCTGTCAGCCGAGTTATGAGAAGATATTGAGGTAATTCACAAACGACTTAAGAACATAATTTACACCATTAATGAATCCAAGGATTTGTAATTGCTCTTAGTTAAAGAGCTTGTCGGGTCAAACACTCGAAAGACTATACAAATTTATATCGCACTCGAAAGACTAAAGTCTATGTTTGCAATGTCCATGCTTGTGAATGTAGTGAGTATATTACACTTCCATGGCTTGTGGCCTACTTGTATTTTGAACCCTTCGTAAGATTGAGGAACTTTTCTGGAATGAAGTAAAATTTTTCTGCTTGTCTTTTAGTGTTCTGGCTAATGACCTTATATATAGTTGGGATGTGAAATCAACTGACAAGAGATTGGATTGTGTGAAATATAAATCTCCAACACTTTATAGCCTGAAAATGCAAGGAGTTTATGTTATTGTTATGCAGAGAGAACAATTTATAGCCTGAAAATGCAAGGAGTTTCTATCTTTACAAGTATCTAGCACACGATTATTATGACAGCTTCTGTTAAAATAAAAAATGTTGGAAGCTACAAAAGTATCTAAATTCTGAGCTAATTTCAGCTTAATGTAACTATTTTTTACTAAAAATATTATTCTAACATTATTCTGGTGAACCTAGTCTCTTACATTTCTTGACTATCATATATAGTAATATAACTAATATAAAGGATAAATAAAATATAAAACAGACAATAATTAAAATAAAAAAATGAAAAAAGAAAGAAAAAGACAATAATTAATAATGTAACTTTGTTAAAAAAAAAAAAGAAAAACTAGAATATCCTTCTTTCTGGCGATATTTACTTACCTAAACATGTTGACACTGTGTTGATATTTTATTAGGTTTATCTCGGTGCGAGTTGCATGAAACAAATTATAAATAGAGAGCATTGACATGCTATCACACTCATAAATAGTATACGGTGATAACAAAACACAAATCGGAAGCCACTTACTCTGTTCGATTCTCGTTGCGCT